CTTAGGGTTTTTATTAATATGTATGTGTGTAAATGAATGTTGTGTGTATGCAGATGCCCTCAGGACAGAAGTGGATGTGGGATCCCCAGGAATTTTAAATTGCAGGTGGTTGTGAGCTACCCGATACAGGTGCTGGGAGGTGAACCTGGATCCTCTGCACGAGCAGCAAACTCTTAACTGCTGAGCTATCTCTCCAGCTCCTTAAATAATTCATTAAAAATCCTTTTACATTTATTTATTTATTTTTGTTTGTTACGGGGGCCTCATCGGTCATAGCAGGCATATGGAGGCCAGAGGACACCTTGAAAGGGTAGGCTCTCTTCTTCCACCATGTGGGCTCCAGGAACAGAACTCCAGTTGTCAGGCTTGGCAGCAAGCACCTTTACCGGCTGACTCACCTTGGCAGCCCATAAACTTGAAGTTTGACTTTGTAGTATTAGAATTAGATTTTAAGATAAAGCCATTCATAAGGTCTGGTGAGGTTGCTCAGTGGTTAAGCTGTTCTTGCAGAGAACCTGGGTTTGGCTTCCAGAACCCATGTAGTAGCTCATAGCAGTCTGCGAACTGCGCAATAGTCTGGGGCACAGTTAAAAGTTCTTGGCTTCCAAACTTAAAAGCCTCAGTGTAAAAATCATTTTTAGTTCAGTTATCTCCTCTTAAAGAGTTCAAACTTTGTCCTAGCTTTTTCAAAATAATCTTTAAGACTTGTTTATTTAATGTGTGGGTGTTTGTGATTAAGAGCATGCAGTGCCCATAGAGGCCAGAAAAGGGCATCACAATCCTTTGGAACTGAAGTTACGGGCGGTTGTGAGCTGTCACATGTGGGTGTCGGGAATTGAACCCAAGTCCTCTGAAAGCAGTCAGGGATGTTAAGCCAGCCCCCGACCTAGCTTCTTAAAGAATAACAGTGAAAATGGCAAGGGATGAGTTTTTTCTCATGTGGAGAAGTTCTGTTGATTCATGTTAGCTGCAGCGGAGTGTGTCAGGGAACTGTACTCAGGTGACCGGGAAGGGATACAGATGTTTCCAGAACTTTGCTGGCACGCCAGGCTGTGAGCATTGTTGTGATTGTGGGTTCTTCACTCTCTACTTACATAAGCATTTGTACGCAAGCATAGATGTGCGACCCTGCATGTGTGTGTGCTGGTGTGTGTATCCTAGGAGGACACGAGAGAGCAAAGACATCCATCCATGGCTTGAAGGTCACCAGCAAAGAGAAAAGGAGATGTCAGCTGCTGGCTAGAAACTCGGCAGCTGGCCGACACTCTCCACCAGGGAAAGCCTTCTGCCAAAATAATTGAGAATCTTGTAAAGATAACTTTCCCAGGGAGCCAACAAGAATGCTGGGCCAGAGAGACAAAAGGCACGCATCGTAATCTTGACGGTCATTCATAAAACACCCTTTGTCTATTCAGGGAGACTTCAGTACTTGGCTGTGTGGGCCAAGGGAAAGAAAGAACAAGGAGGAATTTTTTTATCGAGTTACTCTTTCAGTGAACTGAGCTTTCTATGAAAGGACTGAAGCCAGCTTCATTCAGTGCTTTTGTTTTGAAAGCAAGGCTTGTTTTAAGTTAGAGACACTGTATGGAAAATGATTTTGATGAATGGGTCCTAGGAACTTTTTAACAACTGATGAGTTTGAAAACTGAATTCAATCCAGGGGATAAAGAATTCTGTTGTTGTTGCTATTTTAATGTTTTCTATTAGTATTTTATTAGTATTCTGTTAGCTTGTATTACGTGTACATGATGCTGGGTTTCATTATGACTTTTTCATACATGGAGTAGTGTGTTCTGGCCTTATTCTCCTGGTCCCTCTTACGTCCTTCTAGTCTCCATTCTCTTCCAAACTGTTCCCTTTCTGATTTCATATCTTCTTTGTGTGTGTGTGTGCGCGCGCGCGTGCGCGTGTACGCACGCAAGTGTGAAGGGGGAGTGAGAGAGAGAGGGAGAGAGAGAAAAAGGAGCATGGGTGGAGGTTTGCTTATGGGAGTGTGAGGTACCTTACCAGTGGCCGCGCCGCCGAAGACAATGTCTGTTCCATGGAATGCTTAGCTTTTAGGTAGGGATTACTTCTGGAAAAGAGCATCTCTCTACTCCATGGGCATAATCCCTGCCCTCAACCATAACAGCAAACGACCACAGGAGGAGACCTACCATTTGTATGCACTGAGTTTTTTTTTTGTTTTGTTTTGTTTTGTTTTTTTTGAGACAGGGTGTCTCTGTAGCTTTGGAGCCTGTCCTGGAACTAGCTCTGTAGACCAGGCTGGTCTCGAACTCACAGAGATCCATCTGCCTCTGCCTCCCGAGTGCTGGGATTAAAGGCGTGCGCCACCATCGCCCTGCTCTATGCACTGAGTTTTAAGGATTTTCCTGAGCTTTTAAAATTAAATTTATTTATTTATTTATTTTGGTTTCTCTGTAGCTTTGGTGCCTGTCCCGGAACTAGCTCTTGTAGACCAGGCTGGCCTCGAACTCCCAGAGATCCGCCTGCCTCTGCCTGCCGAGTGCTGGGATTAAAGGTGTGCACCACCACCACCCGGCTTAAAATTAAATTTATATGATTTTTTTAAGTAAATATGTTTATACATTTTATCTCCCGGCCACTGTTTCTCCTTCCTCCTCTCCTCCCGTTCCTTCCCCCCATCTCCCCTCTGCTTCTGTTAGAAAGGAGCAGACCTCCTATGGGTATCAACAAAACACAGCATATCAAGCTGCAGGAAGACTTAAGCACCTCCCTGTGTTAAGGCAGGACAAAGCAACCCAGTATGAGAAATAGGTTCCCCAAAGCCAGTGTTAGGGACAGCCCCTGCTCCCATTGTTAGGAATCCCACAAGTAGACCAAGCTACACAGCTGTCGCATATATGTAGAGGGGCTAGGTCATTCCCATGAAGGCCTCCATTACTGGTGGGAGTGCAAAATTGGACAGCCATGTTGGAAATCAGTGTGGTGGTTTCTCAGAAATTTTGGAATCAGTCTACCTCAAGATAGTTTGTTTTGTTTTGTTATTTTGTTTTTTAAGGATTTATATGCTAGGTAGCTCATCTAAAGCTATCCGTCAGCAACTGGAATAGGGCTAGCTGCAAAGAGAAGGCTCCAGAACTTAGCAGCATTCCTCCAGAGGCCTCCCACCCTGTTGGCAGCAGCAGTGGAGTTCTGATCAAATATTTATGAACCACGCTTCTGGCTGGGATGTCTCAACAGAGGGAAAATCAAGTGTTAAAGGAAGGGTTGCTCATCAGAACAACATCCTAGGCGTGGATGAACATCTGCTCTTTAATGACACCGGGCACTTTCCAACACCCCTCCCTCCTGTACTTCTGATGCATGACCCTTCTTTCGTAACTGCATCTGGTCATGGCATTTCCAGAACCGCTCCATCCAGGGAGGAGGCCCACAGCCAGTGAGTCAGATCTGTAACTCGTGAAAAGGATTACGTGAATTAAGAGCAGATGCCCTGGTGCACTTAGTCCTGAGGCAGTTAGAGGACCCTGTCATCTCTCTCACACCATTTGAGTCTATTTATTTTCGTCGCTGTAACGAAATACCCCAAACCATGTAATTTATAAAGAATAGGTGTTTATTCTCCCCATGGCTCTGGGGGCTGGGAAGTTCAAGAGCATGGTGCCATATCTGCTAGCACCTTCGAAGACATCACAGTGAGGATGCATACCTCAGTTCAGATCTATCTTCTTCCTCTTTCTAACCCACCAAGTCACCTCTTGGAGACCCCGTCCTGATGACCTCATTCAATCCTCATAACCTGCCAAGAGCCCCAGCTTCAAACACCCTTGGCTTATGAATGTGAGCAGTTTCTAGCCCATGGGATCTGGCGGAGATAGATGCAAGGCGTGGCATCCCACACAACGGGATTCAACCTGCTACTGCCTCATTCGTCCTTCATCCGAGTGTGAGTGCAGGAAGTCAGGGTCAGGGTAGGCGGGATGACTCAGTGGGTAAAGCACTTGCCATGTGTCTTAGTTTGACTCTCTGCAGCTGTGATAAAACATTGACCAAAATACAGTCTGGGGTACGTAGTGAGACCCTGTCTCAAAAAAGCAGTTGGAATCAATTTATGAGGTCAGTGGGTCAGTCACTTAATTATCCAAGTGAATGGCAATCTCAATGAAATAGTATGGAGATTGGGTTTATTGTTGTTGTTTTCAATTTTGTTGCATCTTATTTACTCATTTATGGGGGCAGGGCTTGTGCCATGACATACATATGACCATCAGAGGACAATCTGCAAAAGTTAGTTCTCTCTTTCTACCTCATGGGTCCCAGATTTGGTCTCAGATTATCAAGCTTGGCAGCAAGCACCTTTACCTTCCCAGCCATCTTTCCAGCCCTATGATTCTTCTTCTTCTTCTTCTTCTTCTTCTTCTTCTTCTTCTTCTTCTTCTTCTTCTTCTTCTCCTCCTCCTCCTCCTCCTCCTCCTCCTCCTCCTCCTCCTCCTCCTTCCTCCTTCTTCTTTTTGGCTAATTAGTGAATGTTTTGGTGCTGGGGACTGAGACCAGTACCTTGGGCACACCAAGCATGTGTTCTGCTGCTGGAGTACCGTTAGCCCTGAAAGTTTGATTGTAAAAAGTGAACGAACACTCATTTTTTTGGACCTTGTAGGCTTGCACAGAGCATGGACCCAGGTATGTTTAGAAAACTTTCCAGATGATTCTACAGAGTTTTTCTGGTCTGTGTAATACTCTGCCTGTCTGAATGGAGGCACTGGCTCTTTACTGGAAAGGGAAAGGTAGGCAGGTTCTTGTCCAGCCCTAGCTGGCGGTGTCACCAAGTGTTCCCATTGTCTTTTGCTTCTCTATGGAGACCAGGCCATGGTGTGTGTCAGTGGCACCATAAGGAAGTGGTGCAGGCCCTGGTACTGTGTGACAGGGCAGAAAGGACCACAATTTAAAGTATAGGAAACAATCATGACTATAAGTAGCCAATTGGCTTCGTCCACATCATCTGCGTACCTCATCCCTGACTGACCTTTCTTTTTCAGCACCCGTAGGTGGACTAGAAGATGATATTGTGACTCCAGGTCCAGGAGGTGGCATGGTGAGACCAGGTCTGGAAGACAGAATAGCAACCACGGGTACTACTGGAGGACTGAATGAATCTACTGGCAAGGTACCCTGGGGAGTGTCCAGGGAAAGAGGGAGTTGGCTTCAAAGGCAAGCTGTCACATGCCAGGGGATGACGTATGCTTTGATGTGAAATCAACCGCCATACAATGAAATAGTGGTATAGCTTACCACAGAGGTACATCTAAGTCTCATCCAGGGACAAGGGAGCTGGTGCGGTGGACACAGACGGTTTGAGAGCAATAGACCAAGTCTTCTCAGAATGGTATGAAATCAGCCTGCACTGACGCCAGGTGTAGTGGTACACATGCCTGTAATTCCAGTACCCAGGAGGCAGAAGCAGGCAGGTCTCTGTAAATATGGGCTGAGTTCCAGGACAGCTAGAGCTACATAGGGAGACTCTGTCAAACAAACCAACAAACTGGATTCAGGGAGCTTTAGTAGGTTCCTGGGGAGGTGGGAGGAGTTCACCATGCAAGTCCCCAGCCAGTTACGACACAACCTCATTCTGTGTGGCTCTTCATCCAGGTCAGTTGCTCTGTCCTCAATGATGAGCAATGAAAAAGTAGAAAAGCCAGCCCCTGGCTGGGGAAATGGCTCAGTCAATAACATGCACATCTTGCAAGCAAGCATAAAGACCTGGGTTCAACCCCTAGAACCCACATAAAAGCCAAAGGTGATGGTACCTAGAAAGGTGGACCTCTGGGGTTTGCTGGCCAGCTAGCCTAACCTGAGAGGCATGCCCCAGGCCAGTCAGAGATACATCTCATGAAACAACAAACACATTCACACATACCCACTGTGTAGATGGATTTTTTTTTTTTTTTTTGGTCTGCCAGCTCACCAAAAATGACATGGAGGCTTCTTATAAATTATAAAAGCTTGGCCTATAGCTTAAAATTGTCCCACTAGCTCTTATAACTTAAATTAACCCAGTTATATTAATCTACATTTTGTCTCATGGCTTTTTACCTCTTCCATCTTGCACTTCCTGTTCTCGCTCCATCTCCTCTGGTGTCTCTCATACCTATATTTATTTCCTCATTTCCTCTTCTTTACCCTCTGTCTGGAAGTCCTGCCCAACCTCTTCCTGCCTAGCTATTGGTCAGTCAGCTCTTTATCAAACCAATCACAGTGACACATCTTTACACAGTGTAAACGAATATTCCACAACAATGTGTCCCCCGCCACACACACACACACACACACACACACACGCATTTCACACATAAACCCGGAACCACTTCCTAGCCTTCCACTGTCACCGAATAGCTGTGAGGACCTTTCCTGCAGGGAGTCAGTGCTCATTATGGAATCTCTTCGGCTTTGTTCATTGAGTTTACTTGAAAAAGTTGCCCATGTCTGGTCCTGCTGCACATACCTGCTTTGTGGGAACCTAGGCAGTTTGGACGCTCACCTAACTAGACCTGGAAGGAGGTGGGTGGTCCTTGGACTTCCCACAGGGCAGGGAATCTGATTGCTCTTCGGGTTGCTGAGGGAGGGGGACTTGATTGGGGGAGGGGGAGGGAGATGGGAGACGGTGTCGGGGAGGAGGCAGAAATCTTCAATAAATAAATTTTTTAAGAGAAAGTTGCCCATGGTGTACTGAGAATGTGTTGAAAGGACCTTGTATAAAGTGAGCTGTCAGTTGAAGTAGTAAGGGCAGCGGGGCTGCGTTCCCAGCACCCCAGCCGCCTGCCCGGCTAGCTTATGCCCCAAAATAATTACACAGACACTGTATTCTTTTAATCACTGCTTGGCCCATTCTCTTCTAGGCTAATTCTCACATATTAATTTAACCCATTTCTAATCATCTGTGTATGGCATCCCAAGGTGCGCTTACCCGGGAGATTCTAGCCTAGTCCATCCTGGGTCGGAGCTTCATCCCGGGAGCGGGGCATGGCGTCTCTCTCTGAGGCGTCTGCTCCCGAGAGAGCAGAGCTGTGGAGTCTCAGCTCACTTCCTCTTCCTCCCAGCATTTTGTTCTGTTTACTCCACCCACAGGGCCAAGCAGTTTCTTTATTGGCCAATGACCTTCCTCCATCAGTCAGTGACGGTGAGCTCCGCTCCTCCACACAGTTCAGCAAGTCAATGTTAACAGAGAAAAGTGCTATTCCAGTTTCAGAGAGAGAGAAACTTAGGTGTGAGTGAGCCAGTGTTTTTCAAAGAGATCAAGGGACAGGAAGTCTTCATGCTGAACATTTAAAGTTCACTTCTGGACTGAACCTGCTTTTATCCCTATCTCCACTCTTATTTATTTTTGTTTTGTTTTTTTTGTTTGTTTGTATCCATCTGGAATTTATACTTGTGTTTGTGAAATGTGTGCTACCTTAAAGTCTTTCCTGCAGGACGTCAGATGCTGTCCATTCCAAACCTCAGGCTCTGTTTCCTTTTTTGCTCCGCCCACTTCTAACAGGTACCAGCACACACAGACATTCCCTTTGAGGACCAGCCAACCCCAGAAATCCCAGACCACGATCACGAAGAACATAAGAGTACAACCACTGTCAAAATGGTGACGAGCCATTCTGTGGATCAGTCAACAAGTCACCCCAAAAAAGGTGGGTCCGCTCTTACATCACCCATGAAGCTCTCTCAACCTTGAATGATAACGAGTCGCAGCCCCCTCCAAGGACCCGTCACTGGCTCCCGGTGTTGCATTGCAGACCCCGTGTTAGAGCCTTGTGCTGGCTGCTGAAGAGAAGGCTTGGGGGCTAAGAGCACACACTTTCAGAGTTCAGTTCCCAGCATCTCACGGCCTCCTGTGGCTCCAACACCCCTGTCTTCTTTAGGGTGCCACACACAAACACATACACATGATGAAAGTAAGATCAATATTTAAAAAGGAAAAATATCTGTTTAAGACGGGTCATATGACTCAATAGATCAACAGGTTAGGGTGCTTGTTGCCAAGCTTAACTTCCTGAGTTCAATCCCTGGAGCATACATGAAGGAGAGAATCAAAGCCTGAAAATTGTCTTCTGCAGGGCACCACTGCACAGTGCCCACATCCATACAGATACATAAGTCAATCAATCAATAATAATAGTTGTAAAAGAATCTTGCATTGACCCTCAAGGGCAGAAATTCTACACCGACGTTTCCTGGCTTACCTTATGGCTATTCTAAGTCAGACCCGACAGGACTGTGTGTTGTATGCATCATCCAGGTTGGTGCCTGTGACCTGAACTGACCTTGTAGCTGAGGCTAGCCTTGAACTCCTGATTCTCCTGATTTTACTTTCCAAGTGCTGGGACTACATATGGCACAGAACCTGACTGACTGTTGTATATTATTCTTCAATGCATACTTCCAGGTCCAGTTGCCAGTTGAGATTTAAGAACTCTACAGTAATTTTAAGGGTTTAACAAGTGATTTTAGATCCAGGTGTGGTGGTACATAAACCCTCACATTCAAAGGCACAGGGATGCAAATCAGAGGCCTGGGCTACATAGTAAAACTTTATTTGACAAAACAATAAATAACATGGGGGCTACATGAGGTGCTGTCTCAAGAACAAAGCAAAATCTTTCACAATTGTTTGCCTCTGTACACACCACTATCCACAATATTAACACATGGAAGCAACTCAGTAGTCACACCAAATGAATGGTTAAAAAAAACAATGTGTACCCACAGTGGAATAAAACTTAGCTTTAAAAAAGAAATACATGCTTAAACATACTACAATGCATGTTAGTCACATTCAGCCAGGTACAAAGGACAATATGGTATGGGTCCACTTGCATGAGGCACCCAGAGGTGCTGAAATCAATAGATGTAGACAGCAGAATGGTGGCTTCTAGGAGGTGATGGTTGGACGTGGTGAGTGTATTTTATCCCACTGAGCTGCACACTTACAAGAATTAATGTTGCTCAGGCATGGTAGTAAACAGCTGTGATCCAAGCACTCAGGTAGCAGAGGCAGATGAAGCTCTGTGAACCTGAGGGCAGCCTGATCTACAAAGTGAGTTCCAGGCAATCCAGCTCTGTACAGCATGATCCAGTCCTGTCTCAAAACAAACGGAAAATCGTAATTAATGTCATAATTTTCTTGCCGCATATATTTTGCTCCTATTGTTTTTATCAAGTGGGGTGGGGGCTTGTTTATGTATATGGTTGGTTGGTTGGGTATTTTGGATGCTCTGGATCTAATCTAGCACTTTCCTCATGGCCAGGCAAGTACTCTCCCACCGAGCTGCATCTTTGAAGTGATGGAGAGTCTTGCTGCAAGCTGCTGAGAAAACACTGACAGTAATTGCCAGGCAGAACCAAGTCAGCCTCAGTGAGGAAATAATGAGTGTTAGAACACATCTCTTGTAGACCAGGCTGGCCTCCAGCTCACAGAGATCCGCCTGCCTCTGCCTCCTGAGTGCTGGGATTAAAGACGTGCACCACCACTGCCTGGCTAAGACCACATCTCAAAACTGTAGAGGACTTCTCGTGTTTGGCCCATGAGTAAAGCTTCCCTAGTCTTCCTTGGAGAAGAATTCTAGTTTATATGGCTTGTTTCGGGGTGGGTTTTATGAGCCAAGAACCTCAAAGCCCCCCCCACCCCATAAACATCACATCACAGCCAGTTTTACTTCTGGAACCTGTTGACTCTCTAGAGCGGTGATTCTCAACCTCCCTAAGGCTGCGACCTTTTAGTACAGTTCCTTGTGTTGTAGGGACCCCCAAACATTAAATTATCACTACTTCATAGCTGTTAACTTGCTACTGTTATGAATTGTAATGTAAATATCTGAGACCCTCAACGTGGTGGCCACCCATGGGTTTAGAACCGTTGTTCTGAAAGCAGTGAGCTAAGATCCTAGGGAAAGTCTGATCTTCCCTTCTCTTCATTGTCTTCACCAGACCTTGGGCCTCATCTACAGCTGAGGCAGATAGCCACCCTCAACTCCAGAATTAAGGACTCTCTGTAAAATGGGTAGTGGGAGAAACCAAGTAAAGGACTTTTATTCTAAAGTAGAAGTCATGGGAAACTAACTGTCCACGAGGAAGTCAGGTGGAGAGTGTGTATTGTGGCCACCTGGCTGGACTAGGACACTGGTGGACACCCTCAAGTGACAGGGGTGGAAGTCACAAAGGACCAGTTTTCATTCAGCCTAGCAGGGCAGGCCACCCAAAGTACAGGTCAGACCACAGAGGAAAAGCTATCAGGAGACAACTCACAGTCCTGGCCACCCCCTCCCAAATAAGAAGCCTGCTGTGAAAATGCTTAGGACCTTAGCACTTGCCCTGTTTGCCAGGATTTTGATAAAAAACGAAGTCGCCACACCTGCATTCCTCCGCTCCTCAGCACCCAGATTTCCCAACCATTTACTTCACAGCTGTGGCTCAGGAGCCTTGACTCTTAAAATCAGCTAAGATAAAATCCACTGGGTGTAAAAGTACAGAGGATCTGTGGGTGGGCTGTGAAGTCGCAAACTGGTGATAATGCAAAAGGATGGTTATCGGTACAAGACTGTCAAGTGCTGGCTTCTGAAGCCCCAGTCGGATTGGTGGAGGGAATTACCCTCTTTGCATAGGTTTTGTTACATTCCACTTCAAGTAAATTCAGCTGCCAACTGTTCAATTATAGTCATTAAATCCTAATAGTTCTCTATCTTTGCATTTTTCTCTTTCCAGATAGCACAGCTGACGAAACAGAGACAACAGATAAGAGAGGTAAATGAGATTTTGGTCTTCCTTTGGGAGATAAAAAGAAAGTTTCTTTGAATCCAGTTTTTGGGAGGAATTCTATTCATTCTCAGATCTCAGTCAAACAAGAACAGAAAGGACCATCTTCCAAAACAGAGATGATGGGTTTCCTCTCTTCCTTCTTTCTCTCCTTCCTTTTGTCCCTCCCTTTCTCCCTTGCTTTTTGAAGTGCTGGGAATTGAACCCAGCACCTTGTGCATACTAAGCTAATGGTCCACCACTAAGCAACATCCCCAGCCCACTTTTAACTTTTTTATTTACTTTGAGACAGAATATCACTTAAGTTTTGCCCAGGCTGTAGTTCAGGCTGACATTGAATATAACTCCCCTGCCTCATCTTCACAGGTCTCTCTCTCTCTCTCTCTCTCTCTCTCTCTCTCTCTCTCTCTTACACACACACACACACATACATGCAGTGTATTTACTTAATGACAGCTGTGGAGAATGACAACATATCATAGTTCACTATAACTGTATTATATTAAAAAGCTGGCATCCTTGTTCTTGTAATGGACATAATTTGTGGTTTTTCCCACTTAAATAATGTTGCCTGTAGGTTTGTCATACAGAGCCTTTATTATGTTGAAATGGGTTCCTTCTGAGTTTTCTGGACTTCTTTTGTCATGAACCAGCCATAAAGAAGCATGCCCATCAATGATGAAGCCAGCGTGTGTGATGAATTCAGAGACTCAGAAATCTCTTGATTCACAAGATGGGATTAGAGCAGAGCTGGGGCTGGGGCTTGGTGGCACGGTGCTTGACTAGCACACTCAAGGCCTGGGTTTGCTCTCTGCACCAAGAAGAGAAAAATGGCTCAGTGCTTCCACGCTTGACTCAGGCTCCGCTATGCTTGGGAGAAGAGCAGAGCGCACTCTCTGCTAAGAGCAGCAGGACAATGCCATCTCTTGCGTCTGCTCTTCCCAGGCCTCATGGTTCTTTTCTCTTCATTCAGATGGCTTAGCAGTAGTGACCCTGGTTGGAATCATAGTTGGCGTCCTGTTAGCCATCGGCTTCGTTGGAGGGATCATCATTGTGGTTATGAGGAAAGTTTCTGGAAGGTTCTCGTAAGTAACCTCTTATCCCATGTGATATGTGAACGTTGGCAGTCCTGCTCACCACTCAAACCTCTGCATGCGTAGAACCACTGCCTCGTCGCCTCCACTGGGGCAGATGTCAGCATTGGCTATAGACATTTCTAAAAACACAAGCAGAGCCCAAGACTGACTTCCTCTGTGGTCTGAGGAGACTGGATCTCTCGTCTTAGTTTTCCAACTACCCACACTTGAAAGAAAATCCAAACCAAGTTTTAACTTGTTCCCTAATCAATCTCCTTGCTCTCCAGCCATCAATGACAGGTGTGCTGAGGGGGAGAAAGCACCTGTCGCAGAGACAGGCCTTCGTTCTGATGAGGACCTACACTGTGGGTGCACTGTGTGTGCCGTGGGAGGGTCTTTTGTAGTTATCACTCCCTCACACCTGTCCTGCACACCCATCACACAGGTCGTTCTATCTTCCTGGCATTGGCTTTAGGAGGGAAGAGCCTTTCTCCTGGCTAAGCTTCTCTCACAGCGTTCCAACTCAGCACGGGAGAGAAACCAGAGAAATCTGATGGGCGGGGAGGGGAGAGGATGAGTCGTCCATGGCTGGGAAGGGCAGTGACACACAGCTGCCAGTGCATCGTGTTGGAAATGTCTGGAGTCCTGACCCCGCCTGCCTAAGGACTAGGTGTGGAGGGGAATACCTGGGAACTAAGGGCGCAGGCTTCTGGGACTGAAACCACAGAAAAGGACAATAGGCTCAATGACTATGGGGCAAGGGAATGATTGGTCCCAATAGTTAAAGAAGCAATAATTCTCTTTATTTTCACAGGCCCTAAAGAGCTGAACAGATCAGGTTGTTCTCCCAACATATCTGAAAATAAGGGTGCTTCCAGCTCCCCATCTTCTGCTTGTGGAGGAAGATGACCCATGGAATGCCCACCCCACTCACAGCCATGGTGACTCCTCCGCTTGCCGAAGTACCAAAAGGAAAGATACATGACAAGCCACGGCCCCTCGAAGCATATGCCTTTGGAAAGCAAACATTCTTAATATAAATTTTATAATAAATGATTCAAAATACAACATGCGTGGAAAATGAAGCGAAGCTACGTAAACTGACTTGTTAACCAAGACAGCATCACCAGTTGACGTTAGCAACTGTAACCATGGCTTCATCCTGGCCATTCCCTGCTACTGCTGGGATGCAAAGGAATCTGGAAATGTTTATTGAATCTGCAGAGCCATTGGCTCAGTGTTACTTACGTCAAAGAGGCACGGGCCTGCTGATATGTACACATTCCAGCCTGGATTGGGGGGGGGGGTGTTTAAATATGTTTGAGTCATCGAGCTGCAAGTGTAAATTTATAATCAGGCATGGTGAGCAGCCCCTTAAGGGAGCCTGGTGGACCGTTTCAGAAGCATCCATTGTGGCTTCAGGTCCAGGAGGGTACTTGGCTGGTTACAGTTCTCTAAACCATCTCTAAGCCATGGTGACTTGAGGAGTCATGTCCTCACTTCCCTACACTCAAACCTTTGGATGATTTGATTCTTTCCATACAGTGAAGGCCTATTCCAGATGTTGAGAAAGCTTTTGGATGTCACAGGATGCCAGAGGCTCAGCAGCTGTAGAACCAAGCAGGGAACTTGGTCCTTAAGCACAAGAGACTCCTGTGTGTGTTTGGTATAGAAGATAAACTGACCAGTTTCTAACATCTGCCTTCTGTTTCTGAAGAAAGACAGGGAAAGCAAAAAGAATAGTTGCTCTTATGTGGATGGGTGTAAAGGTCTGAGTTTAAAATAAAAGATACTTCTAGTCTTCGTGACATACCACATCTTTCTGTGGGTTCAATCAAGAAGATCAAAACGATGAGACCACAGGGGTGTCCTGCCTCTACCACCCAGCTCGGTACTTCTCCTCTTTCTTCTGCACAGTATTTAACACTGGCCTGGCCAGATGCTCTGTTAAGACTGTGATTATATAATCCTTACATCCTCTAGCCTAGGAAGAGTTCACAAGATGCAGAGAAAAGTAACCCAATGTGCCTGTGTGTTGACCCAACCCAGCTGACCCAGCAGGCTGCCTATTCGCACATCAGCGGGGCCGGGCTGGTTAGAAGAGCCTTGTGAGTCAAATCGTAGTGTGAGTGGTCCTCCTTCTCATCCGTCAGATTCCAAACTGGAGCTAGGAACAGTGCCCTTTTCTTCTTTCTGTCCTCTCCCTTCCCACTTCCACCTCCACCCCACCACCTTCACCCTGAAAAATAGCAGCCCAACTCAAACTATACCCCAGAGTCAGTGCCTGCTGGGACAGGGCTGTGGTGTCTTGGTCACCTGTGTTGGTACTCAATACAGTGTCGACATCTTTTCAAATAAAACATGATTGTGTACAAACATGAGTCCAACCTCTGACTGAACACTTCCGCCGAGAATGGATGTTATTTCTGCTAATGTTATACAACATTTACTCGTTTTTGGTTTGGTTTGGATTTTCAAGACAGGGTTTCTCTGTGTAGCCCTGCCTGTCCTGGAACTTGCTTTATAGACCAGACTGACTTCGAATTGCCACATGCCTTTTAAACCCAGCTACCTGTTGACTTAATGGAAAGAGAGTATCCATGGTCACAGGAAGTTTATTCCCAGGAGAGAAATGTAGCCACAGCGTTCATTAATCTCTGCTAAAGACGAGAGGCCAAGGCCAACAGGACAAAAACTAGGTGGCCTCTTGAGTCTTTTACTCTCTGATCTCAGGGTTAGTGAGGTCTTGCCTGGTCCTTCCTTTCTCTGCATTGTAAAGAAAAGCCAGGTGAGGAGCAATTTTATCTTGCCCTTGAAACTCAAGGCCTCCCTATGAATCCAACTGTAGATCCAGAGCTCAGCTGTCCAAGAACAGGGTGACAAGGGAAGGGCCCACAGATGTGGACAGCTGTGTCTCCATCCAGAACCCACTTCTCACTTGTTCTTTTGACCTGGAGACGGCCCCAGTCAGGGGACTGGTCCCTCTGTCATCTGTCCCTCTGCATCTTACCACTTTGCCACTGTTGACCTTCTACAAGCCTGTGATCACTTATAAAAGTTGAGGGTTAGTAGTAGTTACATTCTGCCCCTTTCAAAATAGGTGAAGCTTGGGGCTGGTGAGATGGCTCCGTGTGCAAAGGCGCATTCTACACAAGCCTGAGGATGTGCGTTTGGTCCCTGGAACCCAGGGGAAAAGGAGAGATCTGATTTCTCTTGCTTCCACTAATTTTCACATATCACCCATAATAAATAAACATTTAAATCAGTAAAAATAGGAATTGGCTATCCTTTATATATGCCTAGGATCATAAGTATTCAGACATTGGTTTTTTTTTTTTTTTTTGCGGGGGTGAGGGTGTTGTTTTGAGAAAAACTTATATATTAAAATTTATATTTTGTGTGTCTATGTGTTTTTGCAGCATGTCTATTTGCACTACCACTGCCTGGATGGAGCCCACGGCAGCTTCCTGAAGAGGGCATGGGATCCTCTAGAACTGCAGTTACAGATGGTTGTGAACTATCATATTGGTGTTGCAGGCTGAACCAAGGTCCTCTGGAAGAGCAGCCAGTGCTCTTAACTGCTGAGCCATTTCTTCAACCCCTTGAGATAGATTCTTGTCTCGTGACTTAGGTCGCACTTGAAATCAATCCTCCCACCTCAGCTTTCCCAGTTCTGAGATTATGCGCACTATGCCTGGCTCCAGACATCAGAAAATGGAATATTTTCATAGTCCCAGTTGACCATCCCTAATCTGAGATTGATAACTATGACACTCCAAAGTCTTGAACGGAGCATCGTGTCAACTCAAAATACTTCTGTATTTTTTTTTTTTCCGAGACAAGGTTTCTCTGTGGTTTTGGAGCTTGTCCTGGAACTAGCTCTGTAGACCAGGCTGGTCTCGAACTCACAGAGATCCGCCTGCCTCTGCCTCCCGAGTGCTGGGATTACAGGCGTGCGCCACCACCGCCCGGCTTCTGTATTTTTTTTTAAGCATTTCTGATTTCAAAGCTTGAAATGTTTGACCTGGCCTCAGGTTTTATTCAGTTGGGGTTGTTGAATTTGCAGAACATCAGAGTCCTGAGTGCCTGGTTCCCTAGAGATGACTGAGATTTTGGCCCATCCATTGCTTTTTTTTTTTTTTAACCCCTTGGGCGGGCCATTTAAAAACCTTGAGGGTTCATTTGTAGTTACTTCTGGAGACTGTGGAGAAAGCTTCTCTGGTCTCATGGAAGACTAGGCACACTTCCTAGTCTCACACCCCCAAAAGGAAAGTGGGCCCTCCTTTTGTTTGTCTCATGCACATTTGTCTTCCAGGATAAACACTCCCAGGGGAATGCTGGAAAGCAGAGCGACGGTCTGCCAAGGGTGTGGGATGTTTAAGAAAACAGCTTTGTCTACTCCTCCACCCTGGACATCTGGGCTGGCGGTAGTGATGAAGTTCACTTCTATTGCTATATCAGTCCGTTGTTTGGCTGTTCATGGTGTCTCATGCCTGTACTCCCTGAGCCCAGAAAACTGAGGCAGGAGGAGCATGAGTTTGAGGCCAGCCTGGGTTTTATACTGAGATGCTGGATCGACTCCGCTTCCTGCTCCACGTTTGTCTTCTCCAGCAAACTTAAGGTTCACTTCTGAAGTTCCTCGACTCGGGTGCTGCTCTCCAGCTGAGCAGGTGTCTGCTCAGTTCCCAGCTGTCCCTTCAGCCCCAGAAGCAGTGGGTAGCACTTAGCTAGTGGACAGTCCTCCCGCCCTCTGCAAGTATACCACCCTCTTCCTGGTCAGATCTTCAATAGAAGCTCATCATGACTGCAAAGTTAAATGTCCTCATCCCCCTCCTGGAACTTCTTGTGCCAGGGATCCTGAGCTAGGATATATCTGAACATACCACCACCACATTCCAAAAGTGCTCCAGTGGTTATAAAACAACCAGGGCGAGGGGGGTCCTATATGAGACCACGGTACCTATATCACAGACACCCATACAACATATTCCAGTAAAAGCTGCGTGGTTCTAGGTCTAGGTCCAGCTTGGGTGCCAGCTTCTCACACCTCCAATACGTAGGAAACTGCTCATTTTGTAATAAACTTAGACTTTATTATTTTATTTATTTATAATTTGGGGTTTTTTGAGGTAGGGTCTTTCTGTGTACCCCCAGCTGTCCTGGAACTGTCTATATAAGCCAGGCTGGCCTCCAACTCACAGAAATCCGTCTGCCCCTGCCTCCCAAGCGCTGGGATTAAAGGTGTGTGCCACTGCATTCTGCTTCCTTAGACTCTTAATGATTTTGTTTTTATTTGTGTGCACGTGCATGTGAGGGCACCTTTCTTGTAGGCTTGCTCCTAAGGTATGAATTAATTGGATAATAATAATAATCCAATAACTTCATAATGATCATTTCCCCTTTCTCTTTCCCTTCATGTGAATATCTGTATGACTTCATTTCTATATGAAATTATTTGGATAAAACATGCTTATTATTTCTTTCAAAATGATAGAAATGTCTCATCTACATTCCTAAAAATTTATTTGGGGGTGGTAATTTAATATAATTACAGTTTAGTGAAATTGAAGAACTGCATTTGCTTTTAAAGTATAATTTATCAAAAAATAGGACAGATTTTCTTTGGTTTTGCAGGGGTTGTGTGAGTGTGTGTGGTGTATACACACCTGCTTGGGTGTGTGTGTGGTTGTATGTGCATGTGTGTCAGTGTGAATTTGTGTGGTGTGGATACACATGCTTGGTGTGTGTTTGTATGTGTATACACATGTTTGGGTGTGTGTGTGATGGTGTGTGTGTGTGTGTGTGTGAATTTGTGTGGTGTATACATACATGCATGGTGTGTGTGTGAATTTGTGTGGTATATACACATATGCTTAGTGTGTGTGTGTGTGTGAATTTATGTGGTGCATACACACACATGCATAGTGTGCGTATGTGTGTGTGGTGTTGTGTACACATGTGTGCCAGGCATGGGAAACCTTCCTTCCAGTTGTTGGTCAAAGTGATTAAAGAGACCCCCAACACAATACAGGAGATTCACATTGCATATTGTCTTGGTTGTTTCCTGCTTCAAAAGACCCCATTGTTAAAGTACTACATACTAGAGACACAGGACACGAAGAAATCGAGCTGGAACTGACCCAGAAGCCTCCTTTCTGAGGGCTAGACCTCAGGGAACCAGAAAGTGCCATGCAAGCTGCCAAGGGAGAAAAGCCAGCAGTAGTTCCATCCAGCTGTAGGACCTACAGACCACAGGAACGACTGGCCTAGCGAGACAGCTCCAGTGGCGCAGTAATGGCACTCATGTTTGGGGTGCAACAAACAAACCGCTATCTAAGTGAACTTAAGGCTCACTCAATGGGAGCAAATTCATGCCTTGTACAGTAAGCCTGACCGATTGATTACCCATGGCTACAGAGGATAGACACTAAAGGAAGAAATACGACTGCCATTTTCCCAAGTCAATACAGCCTTTAAATGTGTCTTAAATATTTGTCCTCATTCTAACAGATAGTTTTCCTCCCAGGGATAAGTCCCCTGACAGGTTTTCTAATCCCAAATTTTCAACCCTAAATAATACATACACCTCTAAATGGACTCCCCAGGTTATATGTATAAATGTAACAATAATAATTACAAAAGAAGAGGTCCTGAATTTAAAAGGGGGCAGCGTTGAGCACAGGAGAAATGAGAGAGGGGAGAGAGGGGTAGGAACAATGTAAATACAGTACTAATATATGAAAACAAGCAAACAAAAAAGTTGGGCATAGTAGTGGACACCTGTAATGACAGCAGGGTGGGGAGGGGGTCAAAGGGGCAGGTGAAGAATCCGGGGGCTTGGTGGCTCCAGGTTGAGCAGGAAACCTTGTCTTGAATTATTAAGAGACTAGGGAAGGATGAAAGCTAGCACAAGCTAACTCTTGCCTGGAGTCATCAGAAACTAGAGGAGGCTGGACCACTTCCCTGGAGCTCTTGCTCTTCCCACTCTGGATTGCAGATATGAATCCTCCAGAAACGGGAGAGAGAAAAATTCCCGATGTTTCCGTCCACCCAATCTGTTGCCATCTGTCAGAGATGCCCTGGGAAGTTAACGCCCCTGTGAGTAACCCCCTCGAGGGAGGAAGCTCCCCACTCCTGTCCAGCCCATCCCAGATGGAAAGCGACCCTAACCTCTTCACCTCTGACCTTGAGCCATCCACCTGACGCTTCCAAACAATGGGCTGGCAGGCTTCAACATACTTCCTTTGTGACCAGACAGCTGTTGACTAGGCTTCACCGGACTGTCATTCCAATTTATTGTTAATGATGAAGGAATCCTTGCTGAAAGACATATGGCCTAGAACAATAGGCATCGCCAATGCTGGAATGGGTCATGGAATTCGGGGCAGACCAAACTGTGGCCAATTTCTATACTTGTCATGGTTACTGGCCTTCACACATCTTCCTTGCTCAAAGCTCAATCTTAATGTATGGTTCACACCATGAAACAGTCAGATGTAAGTAAAATCCCAACATCTACTCAACAAGCACTCAACAGATCCTGCCTGTGTGTCTCCTGTCAGTGACTGCCTATGTCCAAGGTGTTCATGACGGATTGGTATTGTTCTAATTAAAGTATGTGGGACCCGTTTTCCTTTGGGTCTGTGGCTAACAGGGCAAGTTTCCAGGGATGAGGACATTCTTCATTCACAAACCCCGACCCGACTGACTTGTGAAAGTATTTGCTGACTACCCCAGGCCTTGGAGCTTGCAGTTGAATGTAGGTAAGCATCCTGTCAAGCAGATAAAGAGGCCAAGGGTAAACAATTTGACAACATTCTAACTTCTTCACTCAAAACTAAGTGCCACTGGCAGGGTCCCCCTTCCTCCTGATGAGCCGCAACATGCCCAAGGTCAGCCCAGGAGAGTCTTAGCTCACATAAAACTGCAGGCCTCCTCTTTAAGTTGACCAATCCAAATTAAGACGGGGGAAACTTGCCTTATACCTTATACCAATGGTATATACCTTATACCATTTCTTTTGGGAATTGTAAGCCAAAATAATATCTTTCTCCCTTAAGTTACTTTTGTAACTTAGCAACAAGAAAATAACTAAGACAGCATAGTAGCTAAATACACAACATATGGACCCTCCCCACACCCGCCCCAT